TAATTACTAGAATATTATGAATTATGAATCGGCTATAAATTGCAACATAAAATTGATTTGACTGAAGAATAATAACTATAAGTAAGAGCATATACAACAAAAACCTAAAAATAAACTGGGCTTAATTTAAAAGTTCTGGTCTATAATTGTAGCGGTTGGTTTTTTGATGACCACTTAAAAATTTTAAAAATTATGTGAAAATAAATGAGAAATTAAGTGTGACAAATGGAAAAGAAAAAAGTCACCACTCAATTAAATTATAAGCTCTCTCTCTTTTCATTTTTTTTTCTCTTTTTTTTCTTATTGGATCAACCTCCAAATAGCGAAAGGAAATCAAACACTGATCTCAAGCAAATTTCATATGCAACAAACAAACAATCAATAATAAATCATCATTTACAAAAATGTGGCCAATGACAAAACAAAACATGAATATGTTTTCCAAAAAAATTAAATGGTAGAACTTTGGGTGATCAACCAGAGTCTGATATGGGGAAGCCCACCCACGAAATTAGGCCCAAATCATTCGCCTCACTATCACCCAAAAATTCCTCTATTTAAGAGAATATCCACGGGAGATGAGACTGGGGATTAATACAAGAAAGGAGGATCTTAGGACTGTTCGACTGCTGTGAAATGGAGAAGATAATCTGCAACTACTACAAGACAAAGAAGGTGGATTGAACGAGCAGGTCGAGCTAGGTTATGGTCGGGTTAGAATGGATTACAGGTCAAAACAAATTATGTTAAAATGGGTCACGTCTACGCCCCAAAACCCGAATTCGAGGCGCGACAGACGCCGTGCATTCGAGATGAGTCCCACAAATGCACAAAGCTCGAAACTTATTCTAATCACATCTGATGATCCAATAACTCAAATCAATCATCTCAAAATAATTCTATGTCCAACATAACTTAATCTCAAAATCTCCAAGTCAAATTTCTTGTAAACTAACAATCCGTTAAATGAATGTATAAAATCTCCGATTAAACTTTAGTTTACAAGATCGTGATCTATATCTCAAATTTATATTCACTTAACAAAATGACTAGCCTTCTAACTCGTCACTCCCCTCGGTTTCCTCATCCTCGATTTCGCTTCCTGAAATGGTGGATAAGAAAAACTATGAGATAACTCAGTAAGTAAATATGGATAGCCCTCGGCAAAAACTTTAGCATGCCAGATAAATAGTTTAACATAATAACACGCTCAATGACAAAATCAGATCCAATTCAATAACAAAACGTTTCATGACAAACCGTCAATGCAGAAGAAAATTCAATTCAGTAGTCTCATCTATAAGTCATGGCCAGTGTTTAACAAACTCCCACTAGCAAGCGTCAGTAATGGTACCAATGTTTAACACACTCCCACTGACAGGTGTCAGTAATAACCAATGTTTAACCCCATTGGTAGGGTTTCAGAAGTACCAGTGTTTACAAACTCCCACTGGCAGGCGTCAGTAATAGTACTAGTGTTTAACAACTCCCACTAGCAAGTGTCAGTAATGACCAATGTTTAACCCCATTGGCAAGGTGAACCGGTTCCACAAAAATACATGTCGACATGTGCTAGCGTTTACAGCTCCCACTAGCGGGCATTAATAATCATGACTATATCCGAGACAAAACCATGCAGAATTTACAAAAAATCCGTAATTCACAATCGATCTCGAATTTCAGAACAAATCGAAAATTTTTAACAGAAAACTCAACATTTACAAAATTCTCAATTCATTAAAGCAGTTCAATTAATTTCCAAACAGGCATGCTCAACCCCAGAAAAACAACGAAATTCTCATTTTCATTTCAATCATGCTCATTTCCATAAAATCAATAAAATCCCCACTTTCATACCAAACATGCTCAATTCCAGAAAACAATGAAATTCCCGTTTTCATTCCAATCATGCTAAATTCCAGAAAACAATGAAATTCCCGTTTTCATTCCAATCATGCTCAATTCCAGAAAAACCATAATTTTCATAAAAATCATCAAAATTTTCATTTCAGTTTAATCACACTCAGATGCTGATAAAATCAATCTGAAATCAATTTAAACCTTACCACCATCTCAAAAACAATTGAAAACATACTTTAAAATCGAAGGGTTTTACCATAATTTACTTACCTTACTCGCACAGAACAGAAGGCTAACCCAAGTGCTACGGTGAAAGAACGATCAAACCCTAATCACAATATTCCACAATTAATACCGTGGTACCACAAACTTAAAGTAAAATCATCATTAGCACTACCCATAATCACAGCGTTATTTCTATCAATCTCCACATAACCAGACATCTCCAAATTCATTCTTATATCACAAACTAAACCTTTAAATCTCCGTTAATCGTTAACCCTCGGTGTGTGAACAGTGCCTATGAACAGTACCCGTGAACAGTACTCCAACTTCCAAAATTGGCCAAAACACTAGCTAATTCACGAGATTTTCTCTCCAAAAATCACAGCAGCCAACTCAAGCAATTTACTACATGAATTCAACTTAAAACATGTTCAAAGGCTACCGAAATTTGTCCCTATTTCAACAGAATTTCGGACCTCACAAAGGCAGCACTTAATCAAGCTAATTCTACCTTAATCAAGCTTAAAAACAATGGTTTAAGGCTGCCACATACCAGAATTTCTAGCTGCAGAACCGGACTTGGCAAGGGGAGAAGCCGGCGGCAGTGCAGGGGAAGCTCACGGGAAATCTACCCAAAAATTGGAGAACCAAGAGAAATCAAGGTTAACCCAAGCCAATTCAAGTGAGAAAAGAGGATTTAATGGCTGTTTCTTACCCAAAAATGCCCAGAATTCGCCCCTACAATAAGAGCAGCCGGCGGACAAAGCAAAGCAGATCCGGATTTTCCAGCAGGGGGGGGAGAATTTCTGGGTTCAAGAACAAGAGAAGAAGGAGAAAATCCCCAAGCTTCGCCGGATTTCCGGCCGGAAATGGGTGGCGGTAACGGGGGATCGTCGGGTGCAGAGGGTCGGGGGAGGAAGGAGAAGCAGAGCAGAAACACGCAGCTGGTGAGGAAGAAAAGAAAGAAAAAGAAAAGAAAAAGCAGTGGATCCTTATCCAAATTTCTTTCTTTTTAGCCCCTCAACTTTTTAAAATTTTGTGATTAAGCCCCAAAACAATATTTTTCCTCAAATAAATCCCTAATTTAATGCTAAA